CTGCAGGCCAGCGGCCATGGGCGCTCTCTGGCCTGGCAGCCTGGAGAGGTCTTGCCCTTGGCAGCATGCTGAGCAGGTCGCTGAGCCCCCTCCTGGTGTCGAGTCCTCGGTCACTGACAGGGGTCCTGACAGTCTGCCCTAACGCGGTTTAGGCGGCCGCCTAAACTGCTTAGAGCCGCCTCTGCAGACTGTCATTTTTAAAATTTAGGGTGGCCTGTGGGACAATTGCCTCCCTGCCCCCTGTCCCAGCCCGCCCCTGCTGTATTTTGTTGATTTGAAATAAATTCAGTATGGTATTCTTTTTGCCCACTTTTATTTTACAGGTCTGATGATATGTTGGTTTTGACACACACCAACCAACTTTCACATACAATCATGTTACTTGTACACATGTCTTGTACATACTATCGGCTATTGATACAGTCTTGTGTGCCACGGCCACCAATGTAAAGGCATAGCCTGGAGTTGTGGAAGAGGCTTGTTTCCCTTCTTAAGGGCCTCCTCTAACTGCTCCGTACCGTTACCTGGTCGGCGATATCTGTTTGCCCCTCCCTCCGCTCCCCTTATTACTTTCTGGGTGCGCCCTCTTTATTCTACAGGCCTGTAGATACGTCTGTTTTGTCACACACCAACTGACTTTCATACAACTGTTACTTGTACAAGTCTTGTACTTTCCGCTTTTGATATGGCCTTAAGTGCCACGACAACATCTCTCTATAAAATAAAGGGTGCAATGTTTTCAAATTCTTCCAGATAAGGAAGATGGCATCCATGAAGATCATTTTGCCATTGAAACTTCAAACTGGCACTATGAGAATAAGACAGTCTATCTACAAGCATTGGGATGTCTTAAGCTCAGACAACAGTTTACCTGCCGTGTTCCAAACTCAACCTATGGTGAGCTATAACTGAAACCAGAATTTAAAAGATCTTTTAGTACAGAGCGACCCATGACACGGTTAGCAAAAACGCACTATACTGAGGAAGAGAGAATGTTTTTTTGGGGTTTTTTTAATGCAACAACTGTGATACGTGCATTCATATGGCTTTACATAACGGTAAAGAATCCCAATCCAACATTGTAGAACAGGCAGGTGATCATGTAAATAAAATTATCAGTGGTACACACGTGGATTATCAGACATGACACTCAGATGGTATCAGAGGACATCACTCAGATCACCACGGCACTCCGGGATCAAAGAACTGATAAACCCGTAGCCAAACACTTTTTGTCACTTCAACATTTTCTACCAACTCTTTGCTTTATTGCCATGGATCATGTCCACCCACTTGCACAGGGAGGGGACAGATCCAAACTTTGACTACAAATAGTGTCCTACTTTCACCTCAATGTAGTGGTTGTATGAATTCATAAGATTGTCTGATCTATTAATGCATGTACGGTCATTGATCTTGACAACCTAAAAGGGGGAACAAGGAGTCTACATTAGTATACTAACACTAGGAATTTGTCTACAGGGTCTCTAGATCTGGCTCATGGAACTTTAGTTTGTGTTGGTTTTATTTGATCTATTCTACGTATTACAATGGTACTTGAGGCACATAACCCATCACACTTAGCCTTTCCCATGCTGTAGTGTATATATCAAATGTCTTTACATTCTCTCACTAAATTTTTCACTCGGCTCACACACACACATCCTCTCTGCCAGCTTGTTTGCCCTTAACCCCGATATGCTTAATTTTTGTTTCCTATGTGTATGGTTTCTGATTGTCGGACTTTATGCATTCTATTCACTAGTTTCTCCTTACCTAGCAATCACACCTGCTGGGAAGCATGCTGGTTTGTCTAGCAACAACGTTCGCTAACGAACGCTTCCTGGTGACACAGGGAGTCCGACACCTCTGGGTGGTTCAGTCTGCAGGCTGTCTTCTCACTTAATTGGCAAGTTAATTTTGATATTGGCTATATATTTGTGTGGATCTTGATAAAGACCTGAAAGGGTCGAATTGTCTACATATCATTTTTTTTTTTTTTTTTTGACAGTTGACATTGTTTTGATTTAAGAAATGTTAAATAAAGATTTTTGGATTTGAAGACTTTGGAGTGCACCCTTTATTTTGTTTACTATTTATTCAATGGGGTTTTGCACCCAGGCAAGGTGGTTACTTGTTTGGTTATTTTTTATTTTTATTTATTTTTTATTGTGGAATGCCAAACTTAATATCATTTAGACTTGCAAATGTTTCTTTAACTGAATAATGCTTTTGTTTTATGAAATACTTAAAAAAAAAAAAAAACTTGAAAACCACCTTTAAAGTCTACAAATTAATACATTTGTTGGTGTCTCTGGGGGGAGGTGTACTATAGGGAATGTCTTGCGCTTGTTTTTGGTCTGAGTTAACCAAAAATGCTCCTCCAGGTATCTAATCTAAGAGGCAAAGTATTCAGGGGGTTATCTACTAAACTATTAAAATTGCAAATGTCTATTATTCGTTAGTGTTAAACGCATATAAATAAATACATAAGCTGCGACCATGTGAGAATAAGAACTTACCAATTGATGGTTTTGGGAGTAACACCTTCTGCATTGGAGGAATAACTGCAGAAAATCACGCTACTACAACAAGCAGCAGGTGGAGCCCTGTTCATCTCTCTGTATGTGAGTGTGACATCCAGATTGTCCAAGGAGGAGGTTACATTACGTGCCGGGTTACATCAAACCCTGTGTAAACAAGAGAAATTATATTAAACACACGCATCAGCAAGTGTAATCAAAAAAGACTTAAAAGTCAGTGATAATTTGGGTTAAAAATAGAATTGCTATGGAGGACTGAAAGTTAAAATGTAACATAAGAATATAACAGGAAAAAGGCACATACACCGCCAAATCCTTCTCAAACTGTGTGTGTATGTAACCAGCATAAATTTAATATTCATTCAGCATGGCTTCCGTAACATGGAAACCCATTAAACCAACAATTCACATGTACACAATCACCAACACTGCATTAAAGATGTTGTGATAACTGGGTTCCTTGCTTGGCAGTAAAAGTTATTAAACAATTGGCAAAAGGGATACTTGCTGCCACCCTCTCCCCTCCCAAGAGCATTCTTACCCCTGTACAAGACTGTTCATCGTACATACACAAGTTATGCCTTGAAACGCACTCACCATACAGTCAAACTTGGCACATTCTCTCCCTAACTGGGTCTTCCTATATCGCTCTTAAATTTAAATCCCTTTATGTATCATTACAAGTGCCACAAATGAGGTCTACTGTCTAAGTATATTGTTCCTTGATAATGTTTTTTACAGAATCTTTCAACTGTTGCATATACTTGTTAGGTACCGCGTAACATTTATGTACCATAGACATTGTCCTTTTTGTAACTTTATATAAGACATAAAAATAAAGAGTTTATACTTGGCCATTCATCAAAACCGATCAGTTTATCGACCAGTTTAAATGTTACTTAAATGGACTCTCCTGCAGTGTCCCTCTCCCACCCCTCCCCATCCTATGTTGCTGAAGGGGTTAAAACCCTTTCAGTGACTTACATGAATCCAGCGCCAATGTCCCTCGGTGCTGGGTCAGGTTTCGCCCATGACCTAATGTGCATGTGCAGCAATGGCCACGTGCATTAGACCTCCCCATAGGAAAATATTATTCAATGCTTTCCTATGGGGATTCTGGCGACGCTGGAGGTTCTCATGCAGAACGTGAGGACATCCAGCGTAGTTTAAAACTCTTTTTGTGTTTTAAGACGCTGGAGGACTTAACCGTGCAAGGTAATTATTGTAGTTTATAAAAACTGCAATAATTACACTTGCAGGGTTAAGGGTGATGGGAGTTGGCACCCAGACCATTTCAAAGGGCAGAAGTGATCTGGGTGCCTGGAATATCCCTTTAAGTAACCAAAGTCTAGCAATATACAAGAACAAAATGAATATACATAAATCAAGATTTTATACAACCCCAAAGAGAAATGGAAACCAAATTACATGCATATTTTCTTTGTGGTATATCTACAAACTGCAGTAACAGCGTGCTACTTTAAACCATTTTCTACATTTCAACTAGTTAGCAGTTAAAATAGTGGATAAAATGTTCCCTTATCTTAAACAAAATAAATCAGTTCTTAATCTATTGTTGTATCCTATCTCAATCTTGGATGTATTTGTGAGTTGAAAAATGCATTTGGTTACTATCAGACTTACCGGAATCTGCAGCTTTGACTTCCTAAGTTACCGCCGACTTTTGATTGGTCTGCATGCCTCATGTGATGTCCTTATGGGGGATATGGGCTTTCCATGGCCAGTGAATATATTCCACAATGTGTGATACAGAACATCTGTCAGTAGCATCAATGGCCATCATTAGTCTGAAGAAATGCTGGGATTCTGTGGTAACCAACCTCCACTCGGCTGGTATTGGCACAGTGTCTTTAAATACCTGCCAGTGGACAAACTGCAAATATTGTTGGTCCCTTGGTAAAGCCTCATCCCATGGGAAACAGCCAGTGAGCATCACATACACCAGGACTCCAAATGCCCACACATCAAGGCTAGGGTGCAATAATAACTGCTCACTGTCTCCAACAATGCAGAGTTCAGGAGCCATGTAGGGAATGATCCAGGACATTCCTGGTACATAGGTTCCCTGGAGTCGGGTGAGTCCAAAGTCTGCAAGTTTGATGCAATGGCATTCATGGTCCATGAGCAGAATATTATTCAGCTTGATGTCCCGATGGACCAGTCCCTTGTAGTGCATGAACTCCAAAGCACTCGTCAGCTGAAGAATGCAGCGCTTCACAATGTCCTCTTGTAAACCAACCTGAAAGGTGAGAAGAGAATAATTGAATCCATCAGACATAAGAGATTTATTTTTATTTACAATAACAATGGATTGTGGGGGGGATGCTGGTATAACGTTTATCTACTTGGGAATTACATTGGATTATTTAGACCATAATAAAGAAATATGTATTTAGGAAAAAAAAAGCTACATGCACGCCAATTTTTGGAAACCTCACCTTTGTTACGATGGAATGTAGTGTCCCAGCTGGTGCAACCTCCTGAACAAACACATAGCTGCTTGGTGTTTCGAAGGCCATTCTAAAGGTGGTAATGATATGGGGATGAATCCCAAGGTAGACGCAGATACTATATTCCAAGAGGAAATTATCTGGTAAAGTCTTCTCCTTCACCAGCATTTTCAAGGCCACCAGCTGTCCTGTTAACAAAACAAAATATACTGTGATCTCCAGCTACTCAGGTTTATACAGATAATATTTTTAGAAAACCATAGCTTTCAGTTTATGGACTGTAGCAATTTCTTGAGGTGCCGAAAAGCATCTGCATTGTAATTTACCCTGCTAAATGCAGAAATCCATTAGAACTAACCCTGTATAAAATAAAGGACTCCAGTTTTTGAGCATACACACTAATGTAAATTACCTGAACGCCTGTGATTGCCCAGGAGGACCTTCCCATAGGATCCTTTGCCCAGTTCTTTAATTGGATCAAAGTGATCCATTACAGACATCCTCATCATGGTCTGAGATGTCTCTCCCACCAGCTGTAGAAGATCCTTAGCTGTCTCCTTAGTGACATCCAGGATTGTAGCAGCCATTCTAAAACAAAAGAAAGTGATCAGTGTAATTTATATCATTAAACTATTAGTATACATTTATTGCTGCCTCATTTAGCCTACAGGTCTTAGCATTGGCTGAAGGTGCTCTGAAGATGCAGTTAATGTAAGAGTGAGCAGTCCGTGCGTTCTTTGGGGACACAAACCATGATCACTGCACTGATAGAATAATGGTTGTATTAAATCAGCTGTGCAGAACGGTGGATGAGACATGAGTTTATTGTCCTTACATTATTAGATCAAATGGTAAATGTACAAACCAAAAAACATATGCACTATGAAGGCTTTTATTAAAAATACATTTGAACATGTATAAGAAATTTTTTAATTCTATAGATGAAATATTGCACTTTATTTAGGATAAATCCTTTTTATTTCAATTCTCATTTTAGAATACAGTATCAGAGGTGAAGGGCAAGAGCACTACAAGACAGGGTGATGGTGGGGTGGGCTAAAATATGATGAGAGAGTTATGAGACTTTAAAATAGAGTAATGGGATTTTGTGTGGAGAAGAGGGCAAGATTTAACTCGGGAAACTGAGCTGGAGAAAAGACAGAACAAAGATTGCAGAGACAGAGGGGACATGGACATATCTGTAAAAGAGGAATATAGAAAGTAAAACTGTGAGTAATGAGATTAGTGGAGGGGATGGAAAGCCTGAGTGAAGTCTTCTAAATGCTAAAAATCTTCTGACAGTCTAATTGCCAATCCACCACACATCCTAACCAATAACCTATAAACCAACCCTATTCCCACAGTCTGTTAACCCTTCATCCCATGGATACCCGACCCGGACTGAGACTGCCATACTATGAAATCCTTACCTTCTAGAGATGAGTAGAGCCAGGAATAGAATCCACACTCGCTCAGTCTGTCGCTCTGGATACAGAAAGTTACTGAGCAGAGAGGGTGGATATGGGTCTAATAAGGGGCAGCTGATTGGGTAACTTTGCATACAATAGGTTAATTACCCACCAGGGTTCCCATTTATTTACATATAAATAGAAACTTGGGAAAAATGTAAACTGAGACTCTTGGAAATAAACTGTTGCTAAATGATGTCACTGTTCTAGATTTCACAATTTTTATAACATTTACTAATTAAGTTAAAATCTATTTTAACAGAATCCTTGAAATAATGCAGGTAATATTTTAACTTTATTTTATTTTTGGATTAACATTATCTTGGAATAATGAGCTTTCAGGAGATCTTCCTGTAAATCTAAAGCATTTCTGGAGAAACTGACCCATCTCGAGCCTGATCTATGATCCAGGGTTATAGCCAGATCAGATCGTACACAGGGATAAGTAGGGTAGTAGGAGGAACAAAATAACCACGTTGTTCCATGGGTTCAAAAATATTCTGTATAATGGTCAGAGAGTGAGGAGAAAATATAAATCTATATAGAGGATAGTTCTGACCCTGTAGAAGATTCAGTCATCCCCTGCTATTGCCCTAGTTATTCCTGTGTACAATCTTCCACAGGGTCAGAACTATTCTCTATATCGATTTATATTTTCTCCTCACTCTCTGATCCTTATACAGAATATCTATTTGTGACCCTCAGGAAGAACGTGCTAATTTTGTTCCTCCTATTGCCCTACTTATCACTGTGAGATCTGATATGGCTTTAACTTTGTATTGAGATGGTTGTCATTATTCACCAATGCTTTAGATTTCATATAAAGTATATCCTGGCAACATTTAATGCCAATTAATGTAAAAACACACTTCTTCCATTGTCTATGGATATAACATAATGGTTTCTACCAGTGGATTTTAGGGCACGATGTGGGGATGTAAATGTTTCCTGGTTTTGCCCCTCTATATAATGCTGCCCCCTATCCGGCTCTCATGCCGTGCAGTGTGGATAAGGGCTTACATTGGTTCCTTATTGTGATTGCAGTGGGAGAGTATTCATACAATAACAATATATGGGCAATCATTCATGCACTGGTCAACCTTTCTACCATGTGATGGCTGCTCATTGCAGTGACAGTGATGGCAAGAAGCCATGAAGGAATTCAGAAACTGGAGAAGATAAAGAAAACCAGTGGATGGATTAGAATTTGGATAAAATGTCAGTGGGGATTTTCTTTTAGCTTTTAAAGTATTGTTTTCAGAGTATTTTTGGCACTGTATTATATCCTAATTATTTTGAACAGAAAATCCAAATTTGAGAAGAGAATTTTTTGAATGTTATTTAAACATTTAGTATAAATGTATTGCTGCCTCATTTAGCCTACAGGTGTGAGCATTGGCTGAAGGTGCTCTGAAGATGCAGTTAATGTAAGAGTGAGCAGTCCGTGCCTTCTTTGGTTACACAAACCAGGATCAAATCTTCTAAAAGCTTTCTATTCAGTAATCACAGTAATTGCACACCTCGGTATTAATCAAGGCTTAGTATTGTCAATCTCCCAATACATTCACAGACTGCTATATTAAGTTACTGTCTCCTTTTAGTCTGTTTAGCAGTCAGCAGTTTTTGTGTAAATGCAGGATTTAGGTGTGTTAATGAATTTGGGTTTAGAGTAAGAAAGTCCCCTCAGGAGCACCATCAAATCTCATAACCCAATGGAAAGAACATGGCACAACAGCAAACCTGCCAAGAGACGGCCGCCCACCAAAACTCACGGACCGGGCAAGGAGGGCATTAATCAGAGAGGCAGCACAGAGAGCTAAGGTAACCCTGGAGGAGCTGCAGAGTTAAACAGCAGAGACTGGATTATCTGTGCGTAGGACAACAATAAGCCTTACGCTCCATAGAGCTGAGCTTTATGGCAGAGTGGCCAGAAGAAAGCCATTACTTTTAGCAAAAAACAAAATGGCACGTTTTGAGTTTGCGAAAAGACATGTGGGAGACTCCCAAAATGTATGGAGGAAGGTGCTCTGGCCTGATGAGACTAAAATTTAACTTTTTGGCTACCAAATCTATGTCTTGCACAAACCCATCACATCACCCAAAGAACACCATCCCCACAGTGGGATGTTTTTCAGTAGCCGGGACTGGGAGACTGGTCAGAGTTGAGGGAAAGATGGATGCTGCTAAATACAGGGATATTCTTAAGCAAAACCTGTACTGCTGTGCATGATTTGAGGCTAGGATGAAGGTTCACCTTCCAACAGGACAATGACCCCAAACACACTGCTAAAGCAACACTTGAGTGGTTTAGGGGGAAACATGTAAATGTGTTGGAATGGCCAAGTCAAAGCCCAGACCTCAATCCAATAGAAAATCTGTGATCAGATTTAAAGATTGCTGTTCACAAACGCAAACCATCCAACTTGAAGGAGCTGGAGCAGTTTTGTAAGAAGGAATGGGCAAAGTCCAGTGGTAAGATGTGGCAAGCTCATAGAGACTTCTCCACAGTGACTTGGATCTGTGATTGCCGCAAAAGGTGGATCTACAAAGTATTGACTTTAGGGGGGTAAATAGTTATGCCAAAGAAGGCACGGACTGCTCACTTTGGGTTTCTGTTATTTTGTAATATTTGTTGTTTGCTTCACAATAAAAACTCCAAAATTGTGGGCATGTCCTGTAAATTAAATGATGTAAATCCTCAAACAATCCATGTTCATTCCAGGTCGAATAATGCCAAGGGGGTGAATACTTTTGCAAGGCTCTGTATATAGAACGTTCTTGGTGTAAATTTATATTTTACCACCCAAATATAACTTATGGCTTTAATCATAGCCTGGACAGAATGGTTATTAAGCCACTACCCTTTTTTCTATGATGGCCACATTATAAGGTATCCAATAACTTTGTGTACGCCTCTAAGTAACTGCATTTTAAAAATGTATGCAGTTAGAAATTCTTCACCAATTCTTTTAACATCAAAAATGGGTACAATCTTGAAGTGCTTACACACTGCTGTATTGCTCCAGATATGTGCAAAGACTTTATTTTCGAATGGTGTGTATGTTTAAATAAATATAAATTTTTTTGGCTGCAAGACAATGATTCCATTATTTGGAACTATGGTGTGACCAACTTCTCAGGAACAGCTAATTTCCTACAAATAAAGACAACTATGTATGAGAATAGACTACAGGGTTTGAGGTACAATTCTGAGTCCAAGAGCTAAATGCCCAATCACCATGAAAACATGGATGTTTCTTTATATTGAGGAACTTTACATCTGATCCATTCACTGGCGATATTTCAGAACTCCAAGCGTTGCATAGTTTCAAAGCTGAAAAGAGACTTGCGTCCATCAAGTTCAGCCTTCCTCACATATTAGGTATACAGAAACCTCATTTTATCTAGCCCCGATACTTATCAAATGTTATGTCATAATGTAATGGTTCTCTTCAATACTATCGTTTGTAATTTTACTCCATGCGTTACACATTTATAAATACTCTCTTGGTATCAATATACTCATAACTGATAAATAACGTTTCATTGTCTGTTTTCTTTTCCGTTAATATTTAGGAATTGGTATGTATTTTAGTGTCAATCTTTTATTTCTTTGTAAGTCTGTTAATCTTCTGTATCGAATGAACTTTGGAGAATCTTCCATCTTAATTGCAGGTCAGATGAAGTCTTTCCAAGAGCTGATGTCCAGGTGTCTAAAGGAA